CCAAAAGCATAAGCTTGGGAGAAGAGAGTGGGGAGACAAATACACACACACAACAAATAGCTGAACAAACCCAGGCGTTTGTTAAAAATATGTCATGATCTCTGCTCTTTGCCACCTGCCTCGCCCACTTCTCCGCCACGATCACGTTCATGCCCTCCACTTGTTGACCAATCTATATGAGTTCCATCCACACCAAGTTCATGACTGAAGCATCCAGCGTTCTCGTTCTTGTTCATATCCCTGACTCATTTCATGACCACAAAGATCTCACCCTTGTCTTGCCCATGACGGATTACTTCAGCCATCAGATATCTGGACCTCGACCCTCGCTCTGCCTCTTGACCACCGATCCTCTCTAAGCCCCTGTGTTAACTATTGCCTTTTCTGACTTTTTTGTGAATGACCCATGCTCCTGTTTTTTTGTTTTTATTTATTTATTTTTTTTACCATGACCTCAGAACCAAGCTCCTGACTCTGAAGAGAAGGGCTTCGGTCTGACCTTCCAGGCTCACTATTATTATTATACACCAGTGATGTCATCGCAGCACCTGCAAGTTCTTCATCCCCCATGATCAAGCTCTACAGGTTACTGTTGACTTCCCCCCTCAGGACTTTGTCTCCTGATAGAACTTCAAAATAAATCTTTTAATTTCACTCCTGTGTGTAGTTGTTTCCAGGTCTCTCTTGCTACACATTACAAAATACCTGTTAAATCTTAAAATACTGCTCAAAATGAACTCCCACAAGATAAGAGAGAACAGTAAGAGTGCACATGCTTGCATGTCCATTTATTGAATATATTTAGCTGTTTGTAAATATGTAATATAATTCATTGCTTTCCATTCACCAGTATGTGATAATGTTAAAACACCTCTTAATCTAATCTAGAAAGAACCTTGTAGCACATTCAGGGATTGGAGGAAATGTTCTTGAAGTGCTCACACACACATTTGAAGGATATTGGAAACCAACATATTCTTTTGATGGAATACTGAACATCTCTGCTCTTTGACACAGCACACGCAGGATAAACTCTTCTGTAATGTCTGTGCAGTCTGTAGTAGATGGTTCATCTGGATCTTCCATAGGCAGTACACGTGCAACGTATTCCTCTGTTTCTCAGTGTTTTACACAGCCTTTTTCCATTTTTAGTGGAAAAAACAACAGTAATCTGGTTTGTAGCCTTTCAGCGTTCTGAAGGTTCACGTGACATCAGCACTCAAGGACTGCAACTCTTGCCCAACATTGGTAGTTTTACATCAAACTGCTAAAATCTAGTCTTTTGATTTTTATCAAACAAACAGACTACTGTCAAATGGAAGTATTTAATTAAAATAATCTTATGAAGACTTGTTATTTTCTGATTTTATTTCATTTTTCCTTTTTATGCATGAACCCCAGGAAGAGTAGCTGTTGTTACAGCAATGGCTAATAGGGATCCAAATAAATAAATGAATAAATAAAAATAAAGCGTGCAAAATTAACCAACATCTGTATATGCGTTCAGCATGCATTATGTAAAACATTTATTCCCTTTGCGTTCAAACTGCAAATGATTGTAGGATGATGTGTTTGTGGTTAAAGTGCTGCGATCCCAGCCTGTCTTCCAGCGGTTGCAGTCTGAAGCAGCACAGCGCAGATCAGCGGCTCAGCTGGTGATCATTTCAGGCACTGAGCTGGCGTTCTTCGTAAGATCAGCTCAGCAGAGAAAAGAGCCTGAGCTTGTGATTTGTCGGCTGCTTTTTGACAGCTGCTCAGAAACTTGTTTGCACATTATCACAGAATAATTCACTACTCAACAGCAGGCTCTGTTTATAAGTAGACATGACAGGAAGGGAAGTTGAATATTATTTCAGAACGTTAAAACTTTGTACCCTGATTAACACACGCTGCCCTAATGTGAAAAATCTCTGGTTAATGTGGAGCTTAAGTGATTTTCTTAACTTTATCATTTAGATAGGTGTTAAGTTATGCAGCCTGACTAAAACATACAGACACACTTCAGCTTTAGTTGTTTTGTTGTAGGACTATGCCAGTTTCATAGCTGTAGATCATAGTTTTACGGGATTTATTCAGTTTATCATAAAGATGGCACTTATTGTAGAAAATAAATGTTCAAATGGTGTTCAAATATTTTTGTAAACTGTGATTTTAACAGCAAATCTGTAATGGAACACTCATTTAAATTTGTTTAAACAAAATGGAAGATCATCTCAAAAGTAAAATATTTTTCTAAACTTGATTTTCAGTCGAAACAGACGGTATTAGAGAGAGGAAGAAAACAAAAGCAACATTGAAATATAAGCTTGTATTTTGGGTTCATATATGTGAGCATCCGATTCCAGACGAGTCAGCTTCACCTGTCACAAACCTCACCACACGTCACTGACTGAACCGCCCCATCACGGTGCATGTTTTAGACTGCAAAGTGGTGGAGCATCGTGTCTGCTTGTTCTTTTGAATTTACTTCTTTAAATGTCTACATTGTTTGTAGTTTGTTCGTCCTGGCCTGTCTTGAACACATCACATTGAGCTCTGGAGACAGGCTGCAGCACGTGAGTCAAACTCAAGACCTGCATTCCAAATCTGGCCCTTAACATCTTCTTAAATATTTTTTAAATGTGAAATATTTTATTGCTTCTCATTTTGCTTCAAAAAATGATAAATAGCTCATTTAGTGGAGACTTCTCATGACAGCTGGCAAACTTTGAACCAGAAAAAAAGTTGAAATGTTCAGTCATATTTGATTCTGAGGTGGACAAAGTTGCAAAGACTGTCATATAAGACTGTTCCAACTTTTTTTCATGAACCTGCAACCAAGAATGGACTAAATTTGGCCCATGTTTTGAACATTGGCTCTCTTTTGTAACTGACGTTGACACCCCTGGGCTACAGGATTCAAAGGTCATTGCTATTCCCCGTGTTTGTCCGTCTGTGGAGCTGAGCACAACCTGTCAAAAGTCCGTCTGTTTATGCACTGCATGTATTTTCTGTGAACCCACACCTGCTTGCTTATAAAGTCAGAACAAAACGTGCCGTTAAGCCAGCACGCACACAGCTGCACAACATCTCCGTCGCTCCCTTTTCTTCCAAAGTCAACTCCGGACGGAGATGTTGTAATGAGCGACCCGCTGAGTCAGTGCGCTCACTGCCGACGGTGTCGACCCCCACACTGCTGCAGGCATGGGTACTTTCTGAGGTTCCCCTGGGAGACGGAAGATGTTTGCTGTTCTTCCTGTCTGTCACACCTGCAGCATTTATCCCAGAGCAGAGAAAGGTCAAGGATGCCGGAGAAATACTTTGTTTTTTGCCCTTCCTAAATTTTCGCCCAGCTAGACTCAGAGACAAACTGTGGAGCAGGAAGCATGGCAGCTCTTTGTTTTATGGGCTTGTTGCTGTTTTGTCTGATTTTTTGTTGTTGTTGCTGAACAAGATGTCTCTGCTTTGGTGGTCTCAAAAGCATCATGAAGACGTGCTCTGGTTTCTGCTGAACGTTTGTGTTGGTTAGTAATTTTATTGGACAAAATACATGAAACTAAAAGAAGAAACTGCAATATTATATGATAGCCTCATTATTAATAGTCTTTTATAGAGTGATGCTTTAGTGTGAGGAGCTGAGCACTCAGAATTAAACTCTTTAAAGTGTGTTTTTTTTATTCAGTACAGGATGGCTGCACTTACTACAAGACATAATAATAAAATACTAAGACTTTCCTTTCATAACAATCATGAGGACAGGCTGAGGAGTTAATTTCCTTTCCTCACTTCTGCAGATCAGCTTCATGTTGACTTCTACCAAGACCTGTTGATACAGTTTTAGTCTTAATTATACACAAATAAGTTCAAGTTCAAGTATCTTTATTATCCCCGAGGAGCAATTAGTTTCAAATGCAGCTAAAATATTTAAGACATGATTAATTTGTTGAAATGTGCTTAAAACCCAAAAAAGTCTAAAGCAGTGGTTGTGAATTTAACTATAAATGTTTGTGAAAATTAAAGGCTTTATTATTGTGCATTTGGTTATTGGTGAACTCTGCATTGATTTGTAGTTGAAGTGTGCAAAAAATAATCAACCACTGAAAAGGTCCACTTAATTTTTTTTTTAAAAAGTGTCCTTGGAGTGGCATAAACAATTGTTCTATACATCAAAATAATTGTATTTTTAAACATAAAATCACATTTTTCCACTTTTGACACCAAATTCCTAACCTGATCATGTTTATTGTTTGTAAAGATTAATTTTATTTTCACTCATGTTCCCTGCTTTTATCAAAAACAATGGAAACAAAATAAATATTATTGAGACCTAATTTTTTTATATCACTCATTTCTGTATATAAATATTTTTCTTGTTGTTCCTTATTGAACCATCTGGTGTGTAACTGTGTAGACAATTTTAAAGTCTGTTTATGGTAAATGACTTCCAGTTTCATGTGACAGTTAAGGACACAGACCTGTACCAGACAGACAGACGGGCAGACAGATAGACAGACGGGCAGACAGATAGACAGGCAGGCAGACAGGCAGAGCTGAGGGTGTGGAGGAGGTCACAAGAGAGGGATGCCAGCAGATGGAGGGATAGAAGGAAGCGAGGAGAATCTGGGAATGAGGACGACAAGACCAAACGCTCCTGGGCTAATGTGAAGGCACTGATTTCACTTCACATCCTGTCTGCTCCACCGAGCTCACCTTATGCTGAAAACTTTGGGGCATAGGAGATACAGAACATGTTTAAGAGTAAGCAGAAGTAATTCAGCTTCACGTGCAGCTTAGAGATGTTTAGATTTGATCAACACTGCATATTTATGATGCAGTATTTTTGTAAATACTTACAGATGCAGACCCTTCCCTCCTCTACTGTGTAAGTTATTCCTGTAATAAGTTGTTTTCAAAGTGCCTCGTGCAGCTCTTGGACCTGCTGCCATGGGACTATCTCAGAAACACACTCACTGTCTTGTCACCTAAAGTCACCTCTGCGTCTCTTTCTGTCTCTGGTAAAGAATGGAGCAGTTCCAGGAGAGCCGGTGAAGAAGGATGAAAACACTCGGAGAGGCAACTGGGGCAACCAGATCGAGTTTGTCCTCACGAGCGTGGGCTACGCAGTGGGCCTGGGCAACGTCTGGAGGTTCCCTTACCTCTGCTACAGAAATGGAGGAGGTATGCATCTGGTTAAACTGTGACAGCTGCCGTAACGTTTACATATAATACATATTTATGACCCCTTAGTCGATTGCCTCACACATTCAGCACTTGGCTTTGCCCAGTGGATGGTCAGCCCCCTCACTTTACTAAATAACCTGCTATTTAAGACATAGAAACTTGCCAAGTCCAAGTAGACAAACATCTGCAACTAGTTTCTGAAAACCAGCAGCTCGGGGGCCGGACATCCAGCAATTAAAGTCATTATGCAAATAAACCAAGTATTAAAATGGTATGTTACCTTTTAACTATGTTTATTTTGTTGCAAAGAATCATAAATGCAATAAACGGAACACAAAACTAAAATCCAGAACAAAAACAAAAAAAATTATATTTTTTAATGAACTCATTGGTGGGCTGGACTGGACTGGCCCGCGGGTCGCCAGTTGAATAGCCCTGCTCTAGGTTTTTTGTTTGTTTTGTTTGTTTATTTGTTTAGAGTTAGTACTGTTTGTGGAGTTAAAACCTATACATGTGCATTTTTTTATTGTCATATTTATTTATTTATCATAGCACTCAAAATTACAGGCAAGTTGGGTAGCAACTTCAAAAAGTCTGAGCTTGTACCGGTAAATATTTTTAGAATCATTGTGTAAGTATTTTGTCACACTTGTCTAACTTGATCACCCATAAGTGCTTAAGCAACAAATGTAGCTTGTTGTCAGCATGTATAACAGCATATCTCAAACTGTATTTTCCAGAGGCTTCTTTAAACAGGCCAGATGTGGTGACTGTAAACACTATGTAAATAAATTGAATCTGAGTCATCATTTTAGGCATCTCAGTTTGCATAGTTACGTTATTGTTTATTGATCTGTGAGCATTGTCTACACCAACAGGAAGAATCCAGGTGCTGCTGTTGTGCTGCTGATCATGCTTTACACTGTGCAGCTGATGTGCGTAGAGCAGAAGGGCATGCTGATGCAGTCAGGCTGTTTGTGCCCTGGGAGGACGCATCGTAAAAGCTCTAAGTTAAACAGATGATTGATTTATGCATGGTTAGCTGCCTAAAGTAAGCAAAGTAAAAATTAAATTCAGTGTATTTACTTGGTGTGGGATTCCACTTTAATTGATAAAATGACCCTGTAAATATTAGGATTAGTGTTATTTGTGCAGGAGATTGCAGTCCCATGCTGTGGCTCTGCATGTGTCGACCATGCATTACCTCATACATGGCAGCGCTGTGCATGGCACGGACAGGACAGCTGAGTTTGATGAGGCTTTGTCATTTCAGAGCAGTCTGGTTTGCATTTTGACAACATATAAGTAAAACACATTCACTCACACACATATTGGTTAAAAAGGACCAACAAAATGGAGCTTGAGCCTCACCGAACAGACTCAGCTGGAACGTCGATGACCTCTCTGCTCCTACGTGTGCTATTCCAAAGACAGATGTGGTTTGTCTTATTTTGTCTCTTTATTTTTATATAGTGAATGAAGTATGGAGGAGGTTCCAGCAATTAAATCCTGAAGGATCAATTTGCAGATTTCCTGAGTATTCTGATTTAAATTAAATCACACACACAAATCTAAATTTAAAACTGCTTTGGTCAGGGTCAGTCAGCAAATAATCATTTTACAAGGAACAGGCAGCAGAAGGTGACTGGTCTGAAAATTGCAACAGGAAGTTGTTTGGTACTTTCAAAATATTGGAACCTGTGGAACTCATAAATTAATTCCATCCCTCCATTATCTTTACCCGCTTTTTCCTTTTCTGGTTGCGGGGATCACTGGTGCCCATGTCCAGCTATCACTGTGTAAGAGGTGGGGGACACTCTGGACAGGTCTCCAGTCCATCACAGGGACACATAGGGACACAGAGACAAACAACCATTCACTCTCTCACTCACACCTAGAGAGTTTAGTTACCAGTCAGACTAACATGCATGTTTTTGGTCTGTGGGAGGAAACTGGAGTACCTGGAGGAAACCCACGCATGCACGGAGAAAACATGCAAACTCCATCCAGAAAGGCCCCTGGACTGGGATTTGAACCAGCAACCTCCTTGCTGAGAGGCAGCAGCTGTACCAACAATGTCACCTTACCACCCATTTTTAACATGCTCAGTACTAATTTACAGATAGCCTTGTTTTCAAGGAGGGTTTTCCTAGTTTAAAAAAAAGTGTTACACCACATTTCCCAGAACAAGGCTCTGGGTGGTAAACCAGCATTTCTGTAGTCCAAACCACTTCCCCATCAAAATCATTATTGTCAAATGCAAAAAAAAAAAAAAGAAACAGTTTGTCTTTAAACTGCTGAGGAATTATTCAACTGTCTGACTGCCAGCAATTAATTTCTTTAATTCCTAAACATGTCCACCTAAACAACTCTGACAAGTTTGTGTATGGGCAAGGAGCATCTGGGGGTGGGGGTTCCTAAGGTGTCTGGTAGTGGGACATTGCAGGCGTTAGGTTTGTTCTTCACAGATGATCAGTTATGATGTTTGGTTTGACTCAGTAACAAACTGTCTTACATCACCAACAGTTTTGTTTTGTATCATATTAGTTTACCAGTAACATCAAACTAAACTTGGCATCTGAGAACACAACTTGTCTGGAACTTTGAGTGTCTCCTCATTATTTCTCTCCTCTAGGTGCCTTCATGCTTCCATACTTTATCATGCTGGTGTTCTGCGGCATTCCTCTCTTCTTCCTGGAGCTTTCCTTTGGTCAGTTTGCCAGTCTGGGTTGTTTGGGCGTCTGGAAGATCAGCCCTATGTTCAAAGGTGAGATGTGCACACGTCTGGCTTTTAATCAAGTTTGTATACAAAATCATCATCAAATGACATTTGCTACACACATTTTGTTTTCATCTTCTGCTCTTTTTCACCCCCACCCCCCACCTCTTAGGTGTGGGCTATGGCATGATGGTGGTGTCCACCTACATTGGGATTTATTACAACGTGGTCATTTGCATTGCCTTCTATTACTTCTTCATGTCCATGACCAACCTGCTGCCATGGACTTACTGCAACAACCCCTGGAACACGCCCGACTGCAGTGGTGTGGTCGGCAGCGGCGCCCAGCTCAACAGCAGCCTGGCAAACGTCACCAGCAGCTTGATCACAGGGGTGTCAGAAGTGGTCAACCGCACCAAGAGGACCAGTCCCAGTGAGGAGTACTGGAAGTAAGAACTAGAAGGCCTTGATGGACTTTCAGTGACACATATTGTCCACGAGGTTCAACATTAAATTCAGTTTATTTATATAGCCCTAAATCACAACAAAGTTGTCTCAGGGCACTTTACAGAAACATTCACATACATAAAAGCCAATTAGTAAAGTTCTCTATCTAAGGAATCCAGCAGACAAGTTGAATCTTCACTTTGTCACAGTCTTCTATCCTGAGCACAATGGCAATAGAGGAAAGGAAAAACTCCCTTTTAAAAGGAAGAAACCTCCAGAAGAACCAGCATCAGGGCAAGGGACCATCTGCTTTGACCGGCTGGTTTGAGAGGACAGGAAGGAGAGACAGACGAACACATAACGACAGGTCCAGATAGATGCAGGTGAACCTGAAAGACAAAAATACTCGAAGGATAGAAAAAATAATAAAAAATGCAGAACAGGTTGAGCAGAGTAAGTAAAGACAGTAATAGAGTGAAGAAATGTGGTCAGTTTGTCCTCCAGCAGTCTAAGCCTATAGCAGCATAACCAAAGGATAGCTCAGGAAACCCAAGCTGACTCTAACTATAGGATTTATCAAAAAGGAAAATCTTACACCCAGTCTTAAAACTGGACAATGTGTCAACCTCATGGACAGAAACTGGAAGTTGGTTCCACAAGAGAGGAGCCTGATAACTGGAAGATCTTCCTCACATTCTGCTTTTGTAAACTCTAGCAACCGCAAGTAAACCTGTAGTCTGAGAGCGAAGTGCTCTGTTAGGAAAATATGGAACAATAAGATCTGTAATATAAGATGGAGCTAGGTTGTTGAGAGCTTTGTAGGTTAGAAGTAAGATTTTGAATTCTATTCTGGATTTGACAGGGAGCCATTGGAGAGAAGCTAAAACTGGAGACATATGATCTCTCCCACTAACTCCAGTTAAGACTCTGGCAATAGCATCTTGGATTAACTGAAGACTTTTTAAAGAAATATTTGGACACCCAGATAATAAACAATTGCAATAGTCCAGTCTAGATGTGACAAATGAACCAGTTTTTTTTTTCATCATTTTTAGATAAGATGTTTCTAATTTTAGCAATATTAAAAAAACAAAAGCTTTAAAAAAGAAAAGATTTTCTTTGAAAATGACACTACAATTTAACATTATATTTACTCGAAAAGCCTTTTGTTCTCATTTGAAGCCTGTCTTACTTCCAGATATGTGACAGAAGTAACATAATTGACAAAGCGGCATGTTGACGTTGCACATTCTGTAAACTGTGACAGACGGTGAGCTTCAAAGTATAAAACAGCTTTGTATCTGCACAACAAATTGTAATGCAGCATCAAACTGTTCAACTATATTTTGTGCGGCAAACAAACCCAAATTTAAACCCTTTTTCACAGACAAGGTGCTGAAAAACTGCCTATTGGTCACAGACATCCTGTAGAGTTATGTCTTTGAGCGCGTAGATCAGTTTGCCTGTCATTGTGACTTTGGAGACTTTCTCGCTCCAAGATTTCCAAAGGTAATGCTGCGTTCAAGGTTGGTGAAAAGCTGGGACTTCTGAGTCTTACTAGATTTACTGGGTTATTAAGAAAAGACACATTTCTAACTTGGTGCAGTAACCCCTGTATTAAAAGAAATATGCCAACACCGATGTTACTGGATTTCCAAAATGGTGATTTTATGAAATAAACAACCTAAAATTAATATGTAATTCTTCCAGTGGGAAATCTACCAGGAAAATGCATATATATTACTGGAAAAATATATTTTTCTATGAGATTTTTCCTTTTTTTTTTTTTCCAAGTATACCCTACTCATTTTGGAATGTTTATTTCAGCCATACAGACCACAAAATTAAGATTTTCTTTTTATGGGAAAAATACAGAAAACATTCATTTTTGTGTGTGAACTACATTTGAGCAACTGTTCCAATTTTAGATATGTGTCTTTACCCAACTACCCATTGTTGCTTAACTTGGGGTATTTTTTACTTCCACTTTCAGATTGATGTAGCTCACACGACAACTTACACGAGGTACAGGTCCCTTCCCCTGTTGCATAAGCATGACGCAAACATGCTCCATCAGACTGAAGACGTCTTTTGGATAAAAGACGAAACGTTTCAACAAAGAAGAATTGTCCAGAGGACATGACTCAACCTTGTTAGATGCTTCATCAAGATTGTGGGAAAGAATCAAATATTTGGATTAGATTTGGAAGTGGAGCAGCTGTAATATACTGTAAAACTTCATCTGTAGTTCCCATGTTAACAGTAATGTTTACTGTTTTTTTTTACATTTTTAACAACCAGTAAAAAGTGTTCATTGATTTCATCATCATAAAGATTTATTTAAGGAACCACTCATGGGAAAGACGTAAAGAATAAAAGAGCCCTTTGATGATCGGCACTGATCGTATCAAAGCAGTTTCAAACAGACACAAATGTGTTAGGGAGCAACACTTTACTTCAGGTACTCCTGGAAAATCTCAAGGTATTCCATGACTAGTATCCCTCTCAGCCTTATCTGTTTTCAGACTGATCTCTCACCTCTGAATACGCATGTAACATCTGGATGTTTATCGCTGACTACACCCTTCTTGTGGGGTCACCATAGAGAGCAAACTCACATGAAAGATTGTTCAATTGTTTTACACCAAATGTCCTGCTGGTGCAACCTGGGCTCAAACCTGCAACCTCAGGATTACAAGACTATGGCACTGACCACCGAGCTACCGCGGCCAACTATCATTTACCACACCAGAAACAATAAAAATAAATCACATCTTTGAGCAAAGACAAACAACAATCAACGTCAATATTTTGCCAATTTGACCATTTGAAGCTTAACCAACCTAAAAAAGAAATTAACCCTAACACTAACCGTTAGCCAAGCCTGTCAAATATCTAAACATACTCTGTTTATCTCTTTTCCTCTCTCAGGCACTACGTGTTGAACATCTCTGATGATATTGGGAACTTTGGAGAGGTCCGTCTTCCTATCCTGGGATGCTTGGCCGTATCCTGGTGTGTTGTCTTCCTCTGTCTCATCAGGGGCGTTAAATCGTCTGGAAAGGTCAGCCAGCAGAAACGAAAATACACTAACTAACTTATTTGCAATATGGTACCTAAATCCACTGACAAATTAAATGTAAATTCAAGTATTTTAAAATCTCTTGTGACATAGTCATTTCAACAGCTTGCGTGATTATTATGTGTCCAGGTGGTGTACTTCACAGCCACATTCCCATATGTGGTTCTAACCATTCTGTTTATCCGTGGCATAACCCTGGATGGAGCCATAAATGGCATCAAATACTACCTCACTCCACAGTGGCAGAAGGTCCTGGATGCAAAGGTCTGTACTGATAAGCCGAAAATGGATTGCACTTTGTCAGGCCTCTACCCTAAGACCTGTCCAGCTTAGGTGTCCCACATGAACACAAAGCCCCCGACCACAATAAGGTGGCAGGCCTTCAGGGACGAACAAAACAAAAAAATTAAAAAATCCTCCATGCAACTTTTAAAAGCCAACAACAACATTTACTTTATCGGATGGCCTTTAATGCATCTATGCATCTGAAAAATACTTGAACCTATTACCAATAACCTCAAAATATAAAAATACTAATATAAAAATGCACCAAGGATTTTCTCAAACAGAATTAATAAACAGCATATATCGAACAGAACATTTTATATATCTGTATATTTATATATATTTTTTGTTTGTTTTGTTTTGTTAGAAACGTAACCACTCATAAATCTTTCTTACCACTCCGCTCTCCTTTTGCCTCACTCCTCTACAACAACGACCTCCTGTTTCTCTGCAAAAACACAAGTTCAGCACACACGGGTCATTTGTCCTCAGTCTGTGTGATGCACCAGGCACTTGTGTCTCTCTGTGCTTGTGTGATTGAGAAACACTCCCACTGACAGGCTCACACTTGTTAAAAACAGCTTAGCATTCCGCTGTTGACACAGCAAATAAATGCTACATTTACCTTCATTTTTTGTTTTTAATTATTTATTGTCTCATAACGTGAATCGCTACGATGAATTTATTGGAGATCCAATACCACAAATGCCAACTCCTCAGTAGGGATAGCGGCAGTCCTAAGGTTGGCTAGAAGTCTCTAAATGACGTCATTACCTAATTTGTAAATTTGTTCATTTCGACTAGGAAAGAGCAACATAAACGATGGTGGGACAAAACTTGAGTGAAAACACTTTTAACGTGCTTAAAATTAAAAATGAACTTTATGAATTAGTTTCATGACTGTAATATTTTGCACAGACCCACATTGCATAAATCGATTTTGTCACATGTTGTTTAGTGTTAGAAGGATACATTTAACATTCATATTTATTTTCAGGCTGCTGATGGAAATTAGCTAAATATCTAATAATCTGGTACAATACATCTTTACTACATTAGAGTTTACTATCTTCTGGACATGGTCCCTGACAGATAAACAAAACAACAACAAAACTGTTATGTGGGGTGGGCCCACATAACATGCAGCTCCATGTTCAACCCTCCTTATTTATCTTTGTTTGGGACTGGCAAAGTGATGTGACACTCGACAAGAGTTACTTAGTTTTTTTATTTAGTTTTAGTATTTTTTATTACTAGTAATTAGTAGAATTAGTTTTTTTTTAATTGTATAAATCACAGTTAAAATGAACCTAGTATTCCATAACTAACAATTTTAACAATCTTTAGATTGATGGAAGATGGTTTTAACTTGACAACATAAAAAAGGAGACAAGAGAAAAACAAATATAGGCAGTGTGAGATGAACCTGATCTTTGCATGATTCATCTGCAGTATGACAGTGGACGGGGTCTCCTGTCCTCTCTGCAGTTGGGTTCGCTGTACGGGGCCACAATGAGTCGGACGCTCTGTCAGAGCTTTAGGAAAGAGGCGGGGCTTAAGGCAGCACTCACTGTTCACTGAGGGCAGTGACTGCAGAAAGATTAGTGTCTTAATGCGCATCTTCCAAAAGTCTCCAAACGTCAGAAAAAGCAGACAGATTTGTTGCTAGTTGCTTTTTTGGAAACGGTTGCTAGAGGGGTCTGAAAAACTTGTTAAATATAACGGCAAAGTTGCCAAGTTGGCAACAAGGTTTCCTGCTTCCTCACAGTTTTACAGCTTCAGCTAATCCTGCCTCATGAGACGGAGAGTCTGACTCAGGAGAGTCAGGCAGCTTCTAGGATCATTTACATACAAAACTGTGATTGGCTGTTTACTGTGAGGGGGGGGGTATCTGCTGACTGCAGATCACATACAGGGTAAACAGCAGGGGGCGGAGTGAGGTGAAAGTGTGTGCCCTTTTGATTCGAAGGGGCAAGGCATTTGTTTGGGGGGGCGTTGACCCCTCTTGCCCTTGTCTATAGCCCTCCTTGAACTGAAATATGAACACTTAATCTGGGCAAAGATTTATTTTCCTTTAAGTATGTCTGATTGTACGTGGGTTTGTTTCTGTAGGTGTGGGGAGACGCTGCCTCACAGATCTTTTATTCCTTGGGATGTGCCTGGGGGGGGCTCATCACTATGGCTTCTTACAACAAGTTTCACAACAACTGTTTCAGGTTAGTACTCCACTCTCACTCACATTAAAGGGGAGATTTTAACAGGACCTCATGATTTATTGACCACATCATAATTTCTCTTAATTTGTGAAATATCAAAATCCTGAAAAAAATATACTATATTATATTTAAAATAGGGATGCTCCGATCAGGTTTTTTTTTTCCTGCTGATACCGATCACATGGATTGGCAGTAAATTTTTTGATTTAGTTCAGATGAGTGCTGCTTGCTACGTTATCTGGAAAAAGGAACCATGATAACAGACCTTAATTTGAACAAGAACATGTTTTTATTTACTTTTTCAAGACAAAAAAAAAAACTTAACTATTCAGTCAAAAGGACAACTTAAAAACATTTAAATGTACCTGCTATCAGTAACAGAGTCTTTAACAGACTGAAAACATTAAGGCTCTCAACAAACTAAATATTGCAGAAAGTCAAATAAACTTTAAAACATTGCTTATATATCATCGGACCTCTGCAGGCTGCAAAGGTGATCGTTTATTGTGATCAGCATTGAAAGGCATCGATCGGTATCGGCTGATCAATACTTTCTATTGGATATTGGCCAATCATGATTGGTGGCCGATCGATCAGAACATATCTTATTTAAAATGTTATGCATTTATACTTTTATGATAATAATATACCAACAGATGAGATGGATGGGTGGGTGGATGGGTGGGTGGGTGGGTGGATGGATGGATGGATGGATGGATGGATGGATGGATGGATGGATGGATGGATGGATGGATGGATAGATGGATAGATGGATAGATGGATAGATAGATAGATAGATAGATAGATAGATAGATAGATAGATAGATAGATAGACAGACAGACAGACAGACAGACAGACAGACAGACAGACAGACAGACAGACAGACAGACAGACAGACAGATAATGTATTGATATACAAGAAAAACACCCTATCAGTTGTTGTTTTTTATATTGTGCTTTGGACGTTTGGGTGTTTTCATGCCATCCAGTTAAAACCATTTTATATATTATTTAAATATGTTCAGTTAATAATAGGAGATTAACTTATTTTCTGTGTATGACAGGGCCAGTTCTCTTACAGTCAGAAAAATGTATGATCATAGATGTTGATTTTGTGTATTTGAAGTTTGGTTTAAGAATGTATTTGTGGTGGGTTCATGGTTTGTAGCTAATCTTTTATATTTCCTGAACACATACTGCACCTCTTACTTGGGAAGTGTGTAAAGTACTGCAGTGTAAATGTTTCTAAATGATACAAACAAAATAAAAATGTCCTGGATGGCTCAGACTTAGATTAGTTGTATTTATTTATTTATTGCCTGATATGCTTACAGTCCTTTAAAATATGTCTGCATGTTCTAATGTTTCTGTGAGAAGACAGAAAAAGCCCAGTGATTGCCTCTGTGTGACTTAATGCAGTTGTTTTCCCTGATGAGCCAGAGCAAAATATTGATGGACAAAACAGTGCAGCAAGCTAAAAAGTCAAGAACCAATTTCACGGTTTAAAATGTATAAGATAAGCAGCAGGTGTGAAACAATTTAACATGAAAAATGTTAGGAGATAAAGCTTTTTACCCTCAACACGTGTTAGGAGGCTGGTTGTTCTGTACTACAAGGGAGTAAGCAAAAATCCTTGGAAAAGGGTAAAATTTAAGGAATTGAAGATAAAGTGAAGAAAAACTTGTCATTTATTTATTCCCATAGCTTGCTCCCACATGCTGACAGGGTAAGGTGCAGAAGAGTGTGCAGTGGCCAAAGAAGAAGGTTGAAGATATCATTTGTTTTTCAACCGAGAGCTTAAGATAGTGCTATCTGACCACGCAGCTGCATGGAGGTGCCAATCAGCTTGTTTTCTACAGCCCCATCCCTGTGGAGACACCTACCGCTTTCCTGTAACACCACCAAATGATGCACATGCAGAAGTGCAGAGTGAAGGGCAGAGCAGGAGTCCCATGGGTGTGGAAACAGACTGGCATCAAAGTTATCAGACATCCTCTGCAGTTAGCCTCAAAGGAAACGTGAGGCAGGAAGAGCACTATTCCCAGCTTAAATCAGAACAAAGTTAAATCCAAGTAGGCGTCGGATGGAAGCTGGATGAAACAGGCTCTGCACGTAACCTTCAGCTGAAGTTGTCAGAATAAGGGCACCAATGTTAACAATCCTGACATCTGATAAGGTTCAGCTCATTGAACTTAGGCCAGCTGAGAGATAACATTTTTCAAGGATTCAAGGATTTTTTATTGTCATACCAGCTCACATTTTCATGTTTATGGTATGAAATTCATACTCAGGTCCCAGATCAAGAAGCTGGAGGGGAGGGGCCGGAACAGACAGTTTGCAGGATGAGTGGAGTCCTTCATGATGCTGAGCGCCCTCCCCCTGCATCGTGAAGTGTAGAGGTCTGAGGTGGTGGGAAGGCTACTCATAATTATAATAAAACTGATTTCTAGAATGATAGATAACAGATTTATAACAGATATAACAACATAATAATATAACAGATAATTTTGTCAGATTCATTAATGTTAAAATCACTTTTTATCAGGTAAAACTATTTTTTACATTTATTTTAGCATTTAATCAAATCTTTTCAAGTCAGCCTACTTTAGAGCCAAACAGACAGTGTGGCTGGCTGCAGGTAACATGAACACAGAATACTTTTCAAAATGTGTTTTTTCTGAATCTGTATTGAGTTGTTGCTTTACTCAACATCACAGTAAATCCCACTCTAATAAATCCTTTACAGATGGGCTCTACAACTAGGCTGGGACCAGTACCAAGCCTTGGGTCATATTTTATTTACCCTTTATTAAACAGGTAGTCTCATTGAGTCACAAGGACTCATTTCAAGAGAGACCTGTTTGGGAGCAGATGGTGGGGGTTAAGGGCCTTGCTCAAAGGCCCAGAGTAGTGCAAATGAGGGAGGAAGCAGGTGTGGATGTTTTACCTTTTCCATTTGCATTTTGATGTTGTCGGTCCGGGGAGTTGAACCAGCAACCTTATGATCATAGGCCCTCCTTCTCTAACCTCTGCACCACCATTCCCATTTTGTATTTTATATTTGGCACATCTCATTTGGTGCCAGGCCACATAGAAAGAACAAAAAAAAAATTTGAAATTTAGTTTCTGCTTGCATTGGTCTGCACAATATTTTATTTTGAAAATCAATCACTTCCCTCCGCGCAATTTTAGCACTCGTCTCAGTCATGTTTTATTTTCATACACAGGTAAGCTCTCACATTAACTTTAACAAAATTAGTAAAAAAAACTTAACAAAACAAAAAAAAAACACTCGAGCTTCTTTGAAAAAGGAAAAAGACCAAATGATGCGACAGCAGCAGCTTCCACATCTGTCACCACAAACAAAGCTGCGTTTAAAAGAAAATGCCAAGACTTGGTTAATTCTGGGTTTGTTGCATCAGGTGAATCACGCTCAGTGCACTCTGTGTAATACTGTATGTGGAGATTGATTATGTAATGAAACTGCTTCACCACATGCAGACTGAACACTCTTCGTTAAAACACAAGCCTTTGAAGGATTTTTGGAATCAAATAAAGAAACAACACGAATACAAAGATCAGAAACAATTATTGGACACAAGCTCTTCATTAAATATCTGCACTGAGAGCATCATATTTAATGACTAACTGAATTGTATTGTATTATATAAGTAAATCACAAAATAATAATACTATAATGAAATAAAAATATATAAAATTAAAGCTATATTTAAATAATATATGTAATAATTAATTTATACATGATGCACTTTATTGTGTTTTATTTGTGTGATCTTCCACCACTCGCACCCCTGCTTGTTGGGGTGACCCCTGCTTTGCAGAGTAAAAATACAGTCATTATGACAAAACTAGAGTTATGGAATGAAAGTGAGAATTTATCTTTTGAGAAATTCTTGTCCAGAATATTATAAAAGCATTTCTGATCCAGCTGATTATGTTTGGCCTCGTGTTACAGCTCGTGAAATACCGATTGGAAGAGACCTGCAAACCGTCAAACTAAACATCACATCATTTGTTAAAGGAACTTAAGGTTTAAACCATTTGTCTTCTACAATATTATCATTAATTCAACCACATTTATATACACATAAATTGTGTACAAGCTGTTTGCTACAGCACTCACTCTTTTTTTGTTTTTTTCTGATAAGGTTGAGTCAGGTCCTCTGGACATATTGTTCTTTGTTGAAACGTTTCGTCTTTTATCCAAAAGACTTCTTCAGTCTGACGAGCTGCAACAAACTCAGTGTTATGAATTTCACCTTCTCATAGTGGATCAACCAGTTTGCTGGTGACAACTAAAACTAGCTGTTCACATGATACAGGAGGACCATCAACCTAACAACCGATTGTTAGCACCCTGATGGCTGCTTGCTATTCACAGGGGGCTGAGTGATACTAGCAATAACAGCATTGTAAGAGGGGGACAGATGAACACGGAGGCCTCCGCCCCGTTGATGGACGAGTTCTCGTCACAAAGATCTTGTGGCACTTTGTCGCTGTCTCAGCTCTCATTGGTTCTGCACCACACTGCACTGGTTAAGGGCCTGCCCATGGCCAATACCTTACACCCACTCAGCCCAGTTTACGGGACCACCTTGTCTGTGGTTTCAAGTGGACTGCTCTGAGGTGATGATTTTCACATAAGCAGACAGCAGCCGTTGACTGGCCAGCAGAGCTACATCATTGAATGACCCGCCTAACAAAAAATGCAAACTACATCTGAACCTCTGTTTCCTCTCTGATTGTGTTGACAGACGGCTCCACAAGAAATTGGCGTATTTACAGAGAGATATTGGAGATGATGACACAGCATGGCTACACCCAGATTTATAAGCAGTGTCGGGATATGCTATATGTATTGGAATCAGATTATTGGGTGATTAAGGACCACAACAAGTGGCATGGCTTGAACACAATGACCAGTTACCACTCGTTGCATTGACGATTCTGCCCAGAGACCAGGGAAACAAGTCACAGTGGCAAATGACCTACACCTGAGAAAAAAATGATAAGACGAGAGTCGAGTGGATTCTCACTTATCAATGGCAAAGCATCTTCGGTGAAGAAAACCTACGTGTCGTTAACCAGGGGCAAGAGGACCTGACTCAACCTTGTTAGATTGTTTTTTTTTTTTTTTGGCTTACTGAGCATGCATCAAGACTTTTTTGATCTTTACACAAACCAGAACAGCCTTTAATTTCTCCAAAATACAAACCTTGTGCTTTAGGTGGAAAAATGTACAAAATAAGAACTGAAAGATGACTACAAATATGGTTTACAAACTGTGATATGAAAAGCATAAAAATAGCTACTACTGACTAAGTGTTAAAGCGTTGCTTTGGACTCTACATTTTTTATGTTTTGTAATGTTTTTGTTCTAAATCTGTTTCTTTTTTCTTTTATCTACTTAGTTAAAAACTAAATATTACCATAAATATCAATGTCTCGTCTTTTTTAAGGTTATTTGTATTTACAGTTTGAACTTGCTCTTTACTAAAAGTTTATTTTTCTTTCTGCAACATACAGGGACAGCATTATCATCAGTATAACCAACTGTGCAACCAGTGTGTATGCTGGCTTCGTCATTTTCTCCATCCTGGGCTTCATGGCACACAACCTGAACGTCCCTGTGTCAGAGGTGGCTGACCACGGACCGGGTCTGGCCTTCGTGGCTTACCCAGAAGCCCTCACTCTGCTGCCAATCTCTCCGCTCTGGTCACTGCTGTTCTTCTTTATGCTCATCCTTCTGGGACTAGGAACCCAGGTGGGGACAGGAACCTGTGCTGTCACACAGGCTTTATGATGTTTTTTTCGAATAATGATTATTTTAAATGCATTACTATTAAATGATGTAATGTGTTAATTTGAGACATTCACATCCAGTTTCATTATGTCATGTTTTAAATTAAGGAAAATCGTTTGCATACCACATTGCCATCTTGTTGCATGACTTGCTCTAGTAAACCTGATGATGACGAACCACTGAAGATGAACTGAACCACCCATGACTCCTCACTCCTGACCCAGTTGTGTCCAATTTTTGACAGTCAAATTGATGGTTTGGCTGAAAATTGTAGCTAAATTTCTTTTTATGCACCTTCTTCTTCTTCTTTCGGCTTTTCCCTCTTCAAGGATCTCCACAGCGAGTCATCCTCCTCCACCTCACTCTGTCCTCTGCATCCTCTGTCCTCACTCCAACTACCTCCATGTCCTCTCTAACTGCATCCATATATCTCCTCTTTGTCTTTTTACTGGCAGCTGCATTTCTAACATCCTACTACCAATATACCCACTGTCCCTCCTCTGGACATGTCCAAACCATCTCAGTCTGGTCTCTCTAACTTTATCTCCCAGTTGTTCAACCTGTGCTGTACCTCTGATGATCTCATTCCTAATCTTATCCAACCTCGTCACTCCTAAGGAGAACCTCATCTTCATTTCTGCCACTTCCAGTTCTGTCTCCTGTCTTTTTGTCAATGTCTTTGTCTCCAGACCATACAATAGAGCTGGTCTCACCACTGTCTTGTAAACGTTTCCTTTGACCTTTGCTGACATCCTTTTATCACAAATCACTCCTGAAAGTTTTCTCCATCCACTCGATCCTGCTTGGACTCTCTTTTTCACCTCTTCACGACACTCCTCATTTTCCTGGACAGTGGACCCCAAGTACTTGAAGTCCTGCACCTTTGTGACCTCTGCTCCTTGCAGCCTCACTGTTTCACCTCCCTCCCTCTCATTTACACACATGTTCTCTCTCTTACTGCAGCTGACTTTCATTCCTCTTCTTTCAAGTGCATACCTCCACCTCTCCAAGTTCTCTTCCACCTGTTACCTGTTCTCACCACAGATCACAATGTCATCTGCAAACATATTTAATTATATTTAATATCATTTTATGTATAATCCACCCAAATAGTCCCAGACCATGATGCTACCACCACTAGATGGTACTGCGTCCGAAGGATTTTTTGTCCTGTTTTTTTCTTCTTGATCTTTTAAAATCAACTTCCTTTTAAATTTAAAGAATAGAATAGCCATGACTCCTTTACAGTTTTTCTCATTGAAGTTGATTATCATGATGGTTTCAGAAGAAATGTTGTACTTGTCTGACCTAAATCCCAATGCATGTATATGTTTGAGCATAACTGACAGGGCCTTAATATATGGATAAGTATAAAATCAAAACTTTTATAAACTGAAGATGTTTTACAAAGAAAGGTGTTAACAGTGTGAAACATTTAGGATGTGCAGAGTAAATTCAGTGTATAATGGATAAATGTGCAGGAGAGTCTGTAGTCAAAATATATCCTTCATTTGGAAATGTCATTCAAACTGAAAGGAGAAAATATTCTCTGTCTAAAATGTCAAAGTTTGAATGGCATTTTTTAGCCTGAGTGAATAAAATGTCAGCGTGGATGATTGTCTCTAATCATCTGTTTAGAGCCATCTCTCTCGCAGTGCTCTTTTCATGGAAGAGACATCACTGTTCAGTCAAAGCTCCGAATTTTAATTTGATCCATAACCCTTTCCCTCACCTGTTTTTCTAGTTCTGCCTGTTGGAGACGTTGGTGACGGCCATCGTGGATGAGATCGGCACCGACTGGATCATCAGAAATAAGACCATTATCACGCTGTCAGTGGCTGTAGTTGGTTTCTTGCTGGGGGTGCCACTAACAACACAGGTAAGAAGTCACTGCTTGGAGTGACGTTAGTTTTGTCCCATGAAAGTGATGTTTTGAGTGGTTTCTCTTTTATGTTTGTTTGCAGGCAGGAATCTATTGGTTGTTGCTGATGGACAACTATGCAGCAAGCTTCTCTCTGGTCATCATCTCCTGCATTATGTGTATCTGCATCATGTATGTTTATGGTAAGGAGAGAAAATTAGCTGCACATGATTGTGTGGCAAAATCTGTATCTCAGTTTGAGCTTCATTATTACACCAATTTCCTGTCTTTAAAACATGTCTGAAGAAAAATAAAATGATTCAGCTGCAAGACGAGGAGCAGAACATCCCTGCTGATTAAGTGAAGTTAAAAAAAACTGAAAATAGAAGAATAAAGGGCATTTATGAAGAACAAACCTTTATCCTGCTTCATTAACTTAAATTTGATTCTTACTTTTTGAACTTCATTAACTAAGTTGAACAGAGCACATCTTTGTGCTGAAGACAGAGATGGTAATTTATTAGATCAGATTGAGGCTGAGTAGGCCGACCCTTCTGTACATGTACATCTTTAAACCCACAGGGGTATATTAGGCTAATTACTGGGTTCAAGGCCTGACACATGTGAGCACCTCCGGAAACATGAAAACAAAAGCAGGCTGCTTGAAGAAACGAGCAGATTACAAACACTAAGTAGGCTGCAGCTGATCATTTATATGAGGTAATAATAGAAAAATCCAGTTTTTTTTATACTTGTGTTAAATTATTCTATGGTCTGATCTAGTAGTTATTTGTACTGAACACTGAAGTTAGTGACTGAATGGGTCAAAGGCCATTACATCATGTATCACCTGATTTATCATCAAATCAAACAGCACAGAAAAGTTTTGGTAATGTGTCATACCAGTCTAAATATATAACAAACCATCTTCATTTTCAAAGGTTTGAACATTGTAGTCCTTCACTGACACAGGAGTAATCCAGATCTTAATCCAAGTCCATGATATTTTATCTTACATCATATTGGGGACATTTCTTTTATGTAACTCATAGATCAGTGATTATATTTAAACATTCAAGTTGTTAAAGATCTTCCAGCATTGCAATATTGTAATATCAGGTTTGTTTGGCAGCCATGTATCAGGAAGGTAAAAGACAAATGCAGGAATCATCAGAGAGTAAGAGCACTGAAAGAAAAACTAAAACAAAAGGTTTTTGACGGGTAAATTGGACTTTACATTTACGAACTTTGTAATATTCATGTCAATAATCCAGTTGAAGTAAATTAGTTCTAGTGACTATAATGATAGTGAATATAAGCCACTTCCACTAAATTAAAAAAAATAAAAATAACAATTTGTACATATAAAGGCCACACTTGTCTAAAGCCACAAGTGTCCATGTTGGAACATGAGATATTTAAACTGAAAGGTTTTGTAAACTTTTAATTAAATACCCGTAGCATGCACAGATACGTACAGTAAATGTTTTTCTCTGAACAGTGTCTGTAACACTTGTTAAAAAAAATACAGTAGCCTACCAGGAAGTCATTGATTGCTATCTTCACCTTCCTCCTGCGCACTGCGAACGAGGAAGCAATGATGCAATGCTGAGCAAACAAAAGTTTCCCCCTCACTGGGGGCACAATGAGGAGGGGAGGAGAGAACAGGGGAGAAACTGAGATATTATTTAAACGGAGCACACTGTGACCTGTTCGGTAATTTCATTGATCAGATTTTATTTATTTTTTTACCTTTATTTATACAGGTAGTCTCATTGAGTCACGAGACGATGTGTATTGGGCAGCTACTGTATCTGAGCGCCCGGATGTGACGAAGCTAAATGTTTTGGAGACATGAAGCTCATTAGGTCGTCAAAAAATAAAAATCCATGAATTAGCCGCAGCATTGTATAAGCCGCAGGGTTCAAAGCGTGTGACAAAAGGAGCGGCTTATAGTCCAGAAATGACTGTAAATGAATGTGCAGTCACTGTTCACCAGGATGAGAAATGACTCGGCCACTAGTTTCCAGCAGAGCGTCTTCCACCGGTCGAGTCTATGATTGTTGAAAACGCTGCAGCAGCATCAAGCTGACGTCTTGGTCCTGAGATACAATACACCTTTATTTACAGAGCACTTTAAAACAACACCGTTGGCCAAAGTGCTGTACACTAACACAGTCTAAGCAAAGATGTGTTTTCTTGGTGTGAAATCATGGCTGCGCTCAAGGTTTTAAACACTTTGAAGAAAATAAATCTTGTATTCAATGTGTCATCAGGCTGATAAAACAATCAGAATCAACACTTTATACTTTGTTCCATAATTATAAACATTTCTAGTCAAAGTCAAAACATAAATCAGCAGGACTCCAGCCTTCTTTATCAATCTATTTTAACTTGTTTCAGTGATTTGCTTGTTCTTCTCTCCATCCTGTAGGTCACAGGAACTATTTTAAAGATGTTGAGATGATGCTGGGCTTCCCTCCTCCTTTGTTCTTCAAAGTTTGCTGGAGATTCATCTCTCCCGTCATTATCTCTGTAGGTTAACACACATCTCACACCCTTACTGCCCTGACACCAGTTAGAGTGGCTTCGTTAGTCGTTTCTCCACATTGTTGTGTTTCATGTTTACGTGCTGAAGCACATCCAGAGATGTGACTCTGCAGGACGCAGCGATGTTGAGAGGAGCGTTCTGGCGTGGATGGACAGTTGTTAGTGGCCTGACCTACATTTCAGCTGCTGTTAATACTAATCCTTTGCCCACAGTAGGCTTTGTTTGCTGTATAAATCTCTCAAAGCAATGTTTGAGCGGGAAACGAACACATGCAGCTGCTGTCAATAGTATTTCCCAAACAGCCAAATTAGTCCACTAAGCCACCGGGTGGATCACAAAATTCATTGCTGAGGATTAGTGGTCAGATCTAAGGCACTTTTTGTTCTTTTCATTTCCCTGCTCTGCCCCGCAGGGTGTCCGTTAAAACTGGGCCTGAACTCACTGCTGTCAGCTTCAAGGACAATCTTTGAACTTAATTATCTGCAGCTTTGAAATCAAACAGAATTATTTCAGTTGTTGTGAATTTTACAGGTTCACTCACTTCTCTTGATCTATTGTAAATATTTTTGCTCATGTATTGACAATTTTATCTAATTATACATGTAATTAGAAAAGACTAGAAGCATTATGTTTTTGTCATTTGTCTTTAAAAGTGCACTGGATCTCAAAAAAACAAACTAAGAGGAATTCACAAGATTTGATTTACAATGAAAAAAAAGTGATTCTAAACTGTGTGTGCTGTTCTCCCTGCAGTTCATCCTGATCTTCACGGTGATCCAGTACAAACCCATCACTTACAACGACTACATTTATCCCGGCTGGTCCTTGGCTATTGGTTTTGCCATGGCTCTGTCCTCTGTCATCTGCATACCTATCTACGCCCTGTACAAGATCTCAAGGTCCCCAGGAGCCACTTTTAGAGAGGTACAGCCTTCTTCACAAGGTCTCAACCACAGTCACCCTTTGAAGCATCTGGAAACATCTCGCCCAAACTGAAGCTGATTTCTGTGTAACACACAGCTGCATAATTAACAAGAACAAACTTCTCTCTGAGGCGTATTTAAATGGACTCCAAAACTTTCAGTGACTTCAGTTTAACTATAGCTAAGACTTTACACTGAAGTGCCCTGTAGGTGCGTTTATACACATCAGAAAGATTTGGTTAGTAATTTTGTTCCAAATTGCAAGGTACAACCTAAAACTTATCAACTGTGACATAAAACACAAAAATAAGAATTTAAAAAAATGTTAAAATGGGGAAAATGTTGCACACTTTCATCGCTTCTGAACAGTTATATTGTTTGGTTGGGTTGTGTATTTTGAAAGTGCCATAAATAGTTGGGTAATGAATTAATAATGAAAAAAGGTAACACTTTACAATAAGGTACACTAACTCTGATTAACTACTAGAGAATGACTCAGGAACGAATAAGGAATGAATCAGGAGTTAATAGGTAGTTAACCAGTACTTACTGGGGAACACACAGCCCAGCCTTCTTAGGGAACTACTGGTTAGTTACCTGTGAAACGAAGAGGAACTAATCAGGAACTAATGGGTTGTTATCATGGAAACCAAAGAGAAACAAATTAGGAACTAATGAGTAGTTAACCAGTACTTACTGGGGAACACACAGCCAAGCCTTATTAAAGGACTACTGGTTAGTTACCTTGTAAATGAAGAGGAACTAATCAAGAACTAATGGGTAGTTACCAAGAAAACTAAAGAGGAACAAATCAGGAGTTAATGGGTAATAAAACCAGTAATCACTATGAAACAGGTTTTTGACAATTATGAGCTGTGACCTCACTGGTGCAGGGTTTATTCAGAACCCACATGGAGAATTTCTCCTCTGTTTCTGTGGTAACAAACCAGTAGTCTCCTAATAAGGCTTGACTGTGTGTTCCCCAGTAAATACTGGTTAACAACCCATTAGCTCTTGAATCGTTCCACTTTGCCTTCAAGACTAGTTCCTCTTCATTTACAAGGTAACTAACCAGTAGTCCCCCAATAAGGCTTGCCTGCATGTTCCCCAGTATGTACTGGTTAACTACCCATTAGCTCCTGATTCATTCCTCTTTGGTTTCCTTGGTAACTACCCATTAGTTCTTCATTATTTCCTCTTCATTTACAAGGTAACTAACCAGTAGTCCTTTAATAAGGCTTGGTTGTGTGTTCCCCAGTATGTACTGGTTAACTACCCATTAACTCCTGATTTGTTCCTGATGCGTTCCCTAGTAGTTAAGCACATTTTGTGTACCTTATTGTAAAGTGTTACCAAAAAAAAAGAAGTGCAGGGCCCAGTTTGATCACACAGCCTGTGTGTCTGTTTGCAACATTTTGACAAAATAAATGTGTGAACTGTCAATCAAAGGAAACAGATTTTGTTCTGAATTTAAGATTCAGGTTTCTGAGGAAGTTTCATCTCAAAACACGACACAGATCTAAATAATTAAATTAAACACAGCTGAAACAATACCTTCAGTTTGGTCTGAGTTAGCCTTTTTGTGTTTATACCATTAAATCTAAGTGAGCAGCTAATCTCCTACAGGCTGGAGCTGCAGAGTTACCACGAGGCTTCTGCCACAACCCCTTCCTTCAGGTGGAGGTGATTATTCCTCCACAATCCCCTAAAGGACGTGGTATAATGCAGGAGGGTCATGGTGATCTCTGAGTGTCCGTTCAAGCCCTTTGCAACCTCTGCAGTAAAAGACGAGGCATGAGCCTCAAGTAAAGGAGTATCTTATCTAAAATACTAGTAAATACTAGTATTAATACTACTAAAAGTAGATGGTTAAGAAAACAGGAGCACCTGTGAATGATAACTTAAATATATCTAATTAAAATTCTGAGATAATATTTTGCTTTTTTTTTAATGTGGGACAATTGGAAACACCCAAAATAAATGGTCTGTTTAAACATTTTCAGCCCAAGATATGATTTTTTAAAAACAAAATATTTAGGGTAGAAATATGTTAATATCAGCATATTAATAATAACACATGCTTAAGAGTTTTATCACAAAAAAGCTTTACAGTTTACTTAAATGTTCAGAAACACCTCAAAGTTGGCAGTATCTATGATTTATAAATAAATAATAAATATGAATATGAATAAGCTGTGAGTATAAACACATAAAGTGATCAAACACATATTAAAATGGTGAATAAAATATGAGATTCATTGTTTGGATTAAAAAAAACACAAATGCTAAATAATTCTAAACATAATATTTAACAAATCTTTGCATTTATTGTGTTTTGGGTTGTTTTTTTCCTTCTGAATTTTGACAGTTCTCCTAAATGATCTTTCATATTAATTATATTTAGTTAAATCATTTTTTTATCGTGATCATTTTCTTCAACTCATTAACGTTTCTGCTCTGAATGTTCTGCTCTTTGTTCTCCTCCATCTCAGCGGTTGAAGCATGCGTGCCAAGCACATCCAAAGTGGGGCCCCGCCCTGCAGGAGCACAGGACAGGCCGCTACGCCCCCATGGTTTCTGAAGACACTGTGGAGGGCCGTCCCTCAAAGGAGAAGGAGGAGCTAAAGGAGGAACAGAAGGAAGGGGAGAAGGAGAGGAAGGATGAGATCAGCCTCACCATCCAGGGAAGCAATGGCTCCACCAACACACACAACAACCCCAGCGCGTAGACCCCTCCCGTCTCCATCAGCGCTACCAGGGCATGGCCTCTGCGGCCCACTGCATCCTCCTCGTTCTCTTCCTCCCTTCTCCTCCCCTCTCACTCCATCCTCACCCCACTTTCCCACTCTGTGGGGGAGATCCCATTCACTGGAGACCTTTACATATTGTAAGGGCTTATTATATCTATCCTAACATCTTCTATCTGTCTGCGTGTTGTCTCTAGATAAATGAAGAAAAAAACCTGAAAGGAAGAAGAAACTGGCTCATCGTCCAAAAGATATGTGTGTGTGTGTGAGTGTGTGAGTGTGTGTTGGTGTGGGTGAGCTTTTAATTTGTTCCACATAATTTAATAATACAGTTTGTTTTTCCTTTCTTTCTCTTTTCGTTTTGTCGGTAAAACGTTTGGCGTCACCTTCATCCGCAGTTAGAGGTACAGTCGATTGTGAAGCAGCGTGTGCAGGAACACCGGTCTCCTGTTCTCAGTGCGCTGGTTCTGTTTGGGATGACAGTAGCGACTGGACCTGTTGTTGTACTGTAGGGTAGAGGGCGGGGGCATAAACTGTGTTGGTACTAGTCTTTTTAAAGTCTTTTGATCTTGAAGAAAAGGAACGAGGCTTCATTTTATAGTGAGAACAGCAGATGGATACATCGAGTTCAACTCTGTATTTCACACAGCACACAGTGACCTCAAACTTAGTTGATCTTAAAACTAAGCCTGTTGTTTTTTTTTAATGCTGCTTATCCTATTAATAAAACGTACAGAGCACAAATATTGACCAACACACATAAAAGCAGATTTTTTTGTGTGTGGGAATTTCTCCATTAGTCACTTCCTTTTTCCCACAAAATCTGTTTAGACCAATCATTTAGCAGATGAATATCAGTTAATTGGACTGTAAGATCCTGTCATCATTCACATACACAGACATACCGTAATTTCCAGACTATTGAGCGCACCCGAATATAAGCCACGCCCACTAAATTAAAAAAAATGCACATACATAGGTCATGCTTGTCTATAAGCCATGAATGTCCGTGTTGTAACTTGAGATATTTACACAAAGATTTTTAAAACTTTTAATTAAATACGTACCGGTAACATACACAAATATGTACAGTAAATGTTTTTTTCTGAACAGTGCCGGTAACACAGTTGGTTTAAAATAAGTAAATAAACACAGTAGCATACCAGGAAAAGTCACTGATGTTCTTTGACATACCTTTTCGTCTCATAAATCTGAGACGCCACGATGGTCCAACTCTAAAATCTTCAATCTTGTTTTCGGTGACGATTGTTTTGGCTTTCAGTCGGATCTGCACGGTGGAAACTCCTCAGCCTTCTGCGCTCTGTGTTCACCCAGTCTTCAAGAATGTTTTCAAGTTCGGGCCTTCTGCTTGTTTTGCCTCTGAAAGCCTTAGTCGTCATTTTGCATTGATTCAGTTCTTCACGCAGCCGTCGCCAATGCCTCACCATCGATTCATTGACGCCAAGCTTACGTGCAGCAGCTCTATTTCCTGCTTCGACAGCCAGATCGATCACCTTTAATTGAAAGCTACATCATCTGCATTTCTTTGTTTTCCATGATGAGAGCGTGTGCATGAAATGCAAAATAACTAATCTGAAGAACGTAGTGTGAGTGCGTTTGATTTATGGTATTTCAAAGTTTCATTTGTCCACTGTGACCTATTCGGTAATTTCATTGGTCAGATTTTTTTTTAACCTTTATTTATACAGGCAGTTTCATTGAGTCACTAGGACCCACCACCCCAGAGACACGTGTATTGGACAGCTGTGTGAGCACCCGGGTGTGATGAGGCTAAATGTTTTGGTGGCATGAAGCTTGATAGCCCGTCAAAAAAAATGTTTTTTTAAATCCATCAATTAGCTGCTGTAGAAGCCGTGTTGTTCAAAGCTTATGAAAAACAGCAGCTTATAGTCTGGAAATTACGGTATTTTTAAAAGAGGCCCCTTTAGTCATTTCTCAGGGTCCAAGTGACAGTAAACGTTGTGGATTGTTGCCTGTGGAAGCTCTTAAGGGGCTATAACCACCGACCTTTACTCCATGTCAAAACACACACGTACACAAAATAAGTGGATGCAACTCCTCATTTAAGGAAGTGCCATTTCTTCTGAAGTCTTCCAGATATTTAGTTTGGGTGAAGTGCATCTTGTTGGTCTATGAAGGGGAGTTTGTGTGTTTTTTTTTTTTTATGTCTGTAAATCATTTTAGTAGCAACCTTAAGATATTGCCTGAGTTACGTTGAGTGTTGCACATGTTTCTGGTAACATATGATTTTGACAAACTGGTGTGCCGCCAGTCTCTTACCGTCAGTGGAACTTTTAAGGACATTTCTTTTAAAGCTCTGAGCTGTGACAAAAGACAGAGACGCTGCTCGTTTCCAGACGACAACAGAAGAAAACGCTATAGATTAAATGTAGCTGCACTGTAGTTTTCTCTCAGTAGATGTCTTCATTTTACCTCTCCTTGGAAAGTAACTTAGTAAATAATATAAAAAAAGCATAGTTTACATTTTATTTGTACAAAAAATATATACTGTAGATTGATGATTAACCATCTTTACCATTCCTTATCTTGATTTGTTTTATTGGAGGATGTGAGGTGATAGAGAAGGGTGTGTGTAATCTATAAGGTTGGGTTGGGAGTTCAACTGGAAAATGTTCAGTACATCAGTGGCAAAGATCTATGAGGACAACAAAAGGTGCTTTGAGACCACTTATTAAGGGAGTTTCCACTGATATCAGAATTCAAAAGTCCCAGATGCGCTGCCATCGTGGAGATACTAGCAGTGATAAACAAAACAGTGTTTACTCACATTTTCATATAAACTGAAATCATTTAGGATGATAGTGTCAAAAAGCAAAAAAAAGTTAATCAAAGCTGCCTAAAGATACCAAGCATACTTAAAAAGCTACAGTTTATCAGGATTGGAATGATGTTGGGGTTGGAGTGCTAACCCAGATCTTTATCCTGGGATTACCTTCCCAGATATTTTGAACTGCTTGCTGTTCATGTCAAACTCATATGTTATCTTGCTTGGCCTCTCTGGATACCTGAACATAATACAAGATACGTCAGCATGCACGGGCCAATCCTGATCTTTAGAAATCAGAACGCCTGTTTTCTGGAGCCAATATGTATTTTTCATTGAATAAAATATAACAATGAACTTAACTCAAATAAATATATATTTAACAACTCCTAGAAGAAAGTGTACACTTCAAATTAATTTATAGAAGAGCTTTTTTTGCTTTAAAAACTAAATTGTGGCGCTATGGTAGGCAGCTGCTGCTACATCTGAGTTTTCCTTTTTGGTAAGTGATTGAGTGCAGACACTTTCTAAAAAGTTGGTCAGTCATTTAATCTGGTTCTGCTGGCCACTGTCAGTGAAACCAGCAGGTCAGAACTAGTGCTGCGCATGGTAAATCTTTACAACTTACGCCCTGAAGTTATGTAAATGAAGGATATAACTGTTGACTGGCTCCTACTGAACACATCTGAATATTACCTAAAGTCTCTAACCATTGAAATCCTGGTTTAGCGTAATCTGTAAACCACAACCTCCTCTGATATTCTCATGATTTTGATTATTTCCTATCACTTTTGGTCGCCTACAGAAGTAAAAGTCAGCCTTTTTTGCAATCAAATCTGCAATAGTTTATCATCCAGCCACTTGTTTGTTTACGCCTCCAGTACCTCCAAAATTCAGTTTGATGGCATTAAAAGACAGAACTCACTGTGGGGATCTTTTTATTGTATTTTTGGATTTTGTATCAACCTATTCTTCAAATGAGTTTTGAGAACACATGAGTATATATGGAGAAATTTATATCACACAAAGCACATAAATATTGTTTTTTCACGTTGTGGTGCAAGTTATAGCTACATGAGCGTTTTCCAGCTACTGTTAGCTTAGCGTAGCACAAAATTAAAAAAAAGCAGCTGTGTTATGACTGAGAAAGGAGCATTTAAAAGTTTTAAACAGCACAAAGTTAACTTAGTTCACCTCTTAGCACTTTAAAGTTTTGTCATTTTTCTTGTTAGACCTTATTTGTTTAAAATAAGTTTGTTCTTTTGTAGCACGGCTCAACCAAAAGAGAGTCTGGCACTTAGCTTTCAGTCAAGCTAACAGTTTTGTCAACAAACAAACAAACAAACAAAAAAAGAGTTCATTAGTGATTTTTGTAAAGGTCATGAGTTTTGGACTGAAACAGATTTTAAACCAACTACTGATTTTTGTGATAAGCTAAAAAAAAAAAAAACAAGTTAATGCCCAAAATTTAGCTGACCGACATGATTTTTTTTTTTTTTTAAGTTCATTTTTATCTAAAGAAAATGTTCTTTGCCTTTTTTAAGCACACTTCCTAAAGCAGTGGACCATTCCTTAAAGGATTTATATGGATTTTTATTTCTAAAAACAAAAACTGAAGCACAGCGCTGAACTTATTTGTATATATCCCGTTCCCTTTTGGCTCTTATCCCCTAAAATCAGTTAAATTGTAAGAGAAGAGTTGAATTTTAACTTGAACGTGCAGTTGCTCCAAAAATCCACAAGATGGAGGGGTGCTGACGCTCATGGCTGAGGCTGAAACGTGCCCAAAAGAAATAAGACTGTGAGTCAAAAATGTGAAATGTTTATTAAAAGCCACTAAGATAAGAAAAAATAAAAATTAAGCACAGGGAGCATTCTGAATCAAGCACACATTTCTAACCAGCTTTTATACAGAGAGGATTTAAAAAGTGCCCTAGCTAATCTTGTACATGGAGTACTGCTGGGTTACGGGTTGTAAACTCTTTGAATTGTAACTGTTTATTTCTATTCATTCAAAACATATATATATATTTAAAATATTTTTATTAAAACGCAGCAATTCCAGGCGCTGTTACACAAGCCTGTATCTCCCATCGTTTAATCCAAATGTATTATTTTGCTTCGTGTAAACATTGGAACATCTACTTTTGTAATGTTGAAAGATGTAAAAAAAAAAAAAAGATAAATTAATATGTTGAATATAAAGTGGGACAGCATGTAGCTCAACCGATATCCTGTTTGTTCTTGTGGTAATACGTGAAGATTATCTGCCAGTTCTACTACACCATCTCTCCATAAATCCCCCCCTTCTCTCCCTCTGGCCCCTCGTCTCTTTCTCCTGTTGTACAGTCATGTAAAAAACAATCTATAATCAGACTGTGTATGTGTATTTCATTTTGCTTTTACTTTTCGGGGTGGGTGGGATTATATTGAAGGTCTAAGGTGGGCAGGTTTTGATTGATTTTGGGTTTAATTTGTCATATTTCTGTTAGTGTAATGTAGATTTTGTCAGGTGTGTTGTGTATTCTGTGTGTAGTGGATTAGGTCTTACCGCTGAGCCTGCATGTAGAGCAGGTGTAGTGTCAGTATTGATGTCCATGCTCCTCTAATACACCTGAACTAGCCCGACCGTATTCTGATAATCATGTAGGCTTTTATTTAAAAAAAGAAGAAAAAAAAAAGTACTAAAAAAATACAAGACTATTAACTTTAGATTTTAATCATTGTTCATCCATGTTTGGTGAGTCTACATTTTGGATTTTAAGTTTGTATTCCCAAAAGATGAAGCCAGCTGATATTAAAAGTGTTGCCATACAAAAAGCTTTGGATCGAAACTTGAACTGCAAAAGAATGGTTCGTTTTTACTGGGAGCTCTGGCCTAAGCAGAAGTTGCAGCTACGTGACGATGCTTTCATATGCTGTT